CAATACACGTACAGTAAAAAAAAAGTTGCTGGCAGCAGTGTATATGTTGTATAAACCTCATCGGAATTTCCTCACAAGATTGAAATTAGTCGACCGTGGCTGCTTCTGCTTCTTATGCAGCCAGCAACTTACACATGAGACACGCTCAACGAAACGAGATGTTTAAATTAAACGTTAAAAAACACACCTGAACGATATAAAAGAGGGATCAAACCAAGTATAATGGTTGACTAAGAACACATTTTGTGATCCAAACTTCATGAACAATTCAAGAGCTACAAATTCTCATATATCTGCATCCACTTTGTATTCTTAAAAAAACTAATTCGATTAATCAGCCACTTAAGTGTCAAGTTATCTCTTGTCCCAAGGTCGAGGACAATCCCAACATTTTGTTACCTACGTAGATATTCCTGTTGATCCATTTCTCAATTACACATTATGTATTTTGTGTGCTGTGATTTACCGCAATAATTTTTGTCATAAAGCTTTGTCACTGTTATTATTTGTTCTTTAACTGCTGCTGCAATTATTCCAAATTCTCAAACTTTTGATATTTGTTGTTATGCATTATGAGGCAATAATCTAACAAACAATTACCATTTCTTTGCACGTAGTGCTAAAGTTGATAAGAAACTTTTTAAATACGGGAAGAGAAATGGAATCAGAAATACTGTTTCTCATTGTCAAAGGAAACCTTAACGTAATAAATACATACAAATATACGAAGAGCATATCAGGATATTAATATATCAAGGTTTGTATAAGCTCGTCACGTGAAAATATGGTCACAAAATAATATTCTAGTCAGTAATAAATCATAAAATGCGATGATGACCGATGGCATCATCACTTTCATCAATTTCTTCTGATGGGTCTCCAATTTAAAAGTGAAGTTTGTATAAAAATACACTCAACGAGGTTTCCCTCAATTTCCCCTCAAAAACCTAATACTTACATTACCTACATCCAAGTCAGGGTAAAAGTCAGCCCTGTACTTGCACTCTGACGGAGAAAGGATTATTATTATGCTTCAACGTATTTTCAGGTGGGGTTTTGGTTGCAATGGAGAAAATAAAAAACCTTTTACTTTGTTCGTACAGACATCCAGACAACGACCAACATGTCATCTTATGACCGCAGCAACTGCAGTCGAGTAAACCTCCTCCAACCAATCACGGGCAAACAACATAATTATCGATCAAACTTTGGCTTCTTTCTCATCAAATAACTGCTCAAATTAAATTGTATTACAGTTCTTTCTCCGTGTTGACGTTCAATGCCAAATGTTCCATCCAAGCAACTTATCCTGGTTTCCTTTTCACGGGAGAGAGAGAGAGAGAAAGTACTTTATGTTCTCACTTCTTCACCCGATGAAAAGAAATCAGTGAGAGAACATGACGACGATGAAGGTTTACACATTTGGTAATTTCACATGGTATGGGCAAACATGTTGATAATATAAGCCATTTCCGTTTCAAGGAAACGTTCCCATTTTCTGGAAGTGAGATTGGATTTTGATCTACTATCATTTTATTATGGCTTGAATATGCAAACATCATTCGTCAAAGGCAAATTCAAATCTTGATTTTGGCATGCACTGCAGTTGGATGTGTGTGTGTGCAGGAAGAAACCTTGGTTAAATCTGGGCTAATAATACCAAATAACAGAGTTGTACAATGCGTAGGGCATGAAAATAAATGCAGGCATTTATGTCCTCATGCGAAAATGCCAGGTATTTATGAGAATTTAAGACATTTATTGGGCACATTTAGCATATTGGATTGGGCACTTATCTCCACTTGCCTAATCCAACTTTACATGTCTGGAGAATTTTTCAGAAAAGTTTATTTAACCAAAAGAAATGTGTCAAACCGTAATTCAATGTGTATTACTAAATCGTTTAACAAACCATTTCAAACAACCATTTTGATTAGATACAATCAAGGATATTTCAGAAATCTAAAAAAGCTAATCAATCCTAAGGCATAACAAAGTATACTTTAATTTAATTTTCATAAAAGTCATCAATTCAAAAATTAATTCAGCATGCCCAAAATTCTCGGCAAATAAGGCATGCCATAAATTCCTAAATGCCCTGGGCATGGGCTTAACTACAACTCTAACAGACGCATTACAAAAAGCTTTTTAATTCGTATTTATGTCCCCTATAAAATTATGATTAGATTCATATGTAACACAATAGAAACACATTCCAAATCGTGATAAAATGGTTAGGGAACATAAATCGAATATTTAAACTAATAGTAATCGAATCTCAAAATGTAAATGGCTTCGGGATGGTCGTCACCATTAAATTGTCTTTAGGTCATTAGCACATCATTGTCGATGTAAAAAAAGTCTCATCTGACATCGGAAATCTCCGGTTTGTCTAACAATGCTGATTTGTTCATCAGATAAGGAACTTATGGGAGGAGTTGTGGCGTTGGCTGCATAGGTCATAGCGCCCATCATATATGCACAAACATACAGATCGTACCTGCATACGTACATACATATCGTACACCATCCCCTTCACAGACTGACGTGAAAAATGACACGACAATTGCTTCAATCTAAAATGTTATTAACTTTATTCAACTATATTGAGTTTGTGTGTAGCACCACCTGCCCAGAATTTAACGTCCTGCTTTCCTCATCATTTTCCTCACGAGGATTTTCTTGTTTTCGACACAACAACCGGTAATTCCAAGCTTCCTTCTTAATTATCGCCCCATTTCGTTTTTTTACTTCATGAGTATGATCATGTGTTTCCAGAAATTGTTACATACTTTGAACCACCACGCAAAAGGTGCATGGATTGTATGCCAATCTTTTTTAGCCCGATTTATCCAGAGGTCAATTTATCATCAAGAGTGAAAGCACGACCGACATTGACATGTGCAAAATCTACCTACCTCACTAATCAATCTTGGATTCGTGCTAATTTGCATATTTAAAAAATTCATGAATAATTGCATTTAACATTTATGATCTTGCGGCATCATGATGAATTTTAATAACTGTCTCACAAAAAACTGAGCATGTATGCATATTTGCAAAAGCAAGGACTTCTAGATAAATGGCTGATCGAGTGTGCATGCAAGTCATTTTTATATGATTCAACATTCCTTAAGAAGTTTTGGAAGAGATGAAGACGGATGATCGGGTTGGATGGATTGCTGTTTTGTTGGAGTAGGACTGGAATGTACGTCACTTTTAAAGGTATAATTCATTCCCAGCGACCGACCATGTATTATCGCATGGCTGGAGAGACCAGGTAAAATAATAAATGCATATCTGTCGTTTGTTTAGTTGGAAGCCTATAATGTTCAATCAACCTTTGTTGCCCTTGGTTCGGTTAGGATATATGTATGTACATATGTATGTACATATCTATGTATGTATGCCGTACGGCTTAATCACAATGGCTTCAACATTTGTAGGTAATTCAATCACGTATTTATATAGAATTGTTGAATGAGTAGTATATTTTTGCATCCATCAGATGATTATAAATTGGCAGGTTGGATTAAAAAAAAGTATTTATACTTGGCCGAGCATATAGATATATAGGTAAAAGTGTGGTTCATTGTGATTTGTGCAAGTCAGATGACTTCTTAAAGATTTTATAGCATATCAATTTCTTAGAAACCTGGGCACATTTATTTCTACCTTCATTTGCATTGCATGGCTTCGATTAAATTGAATGTCCATACACGAGGGGCAGCAGTAGCAGAATTGAACTATGGGGCAAAAAAATGGCAATCATGTTCGTAATAAGTGAGCAACCTTTATGCAATATACAGCATATTTAACGGAGGAATAGGTATTTACTGCCGCATGTACAGAGTGAGAGGTCCAAGGTTTAACTTGAAAATGCTCGTAAATAGCGAAAAACTAGTTTTTGGAGAGTTTTTGAGGATTTTAGTAGGAATTGATGTTACGCACAGTCTGCAGTGTTGGTCTGATTGTGAGTTTTTGCAATAATTATGAAGGATTTATTGGTGGAGATACTTATTACAATTGCAGAATAAACATGTGGAACATGTAGATTTTTCGAACCTGATTTTTTTAAGTATACCTTTACCACCAGACGAGCCGCCGATTTAATTGAAATATGACAAAAGATGGGAACGCTATAATTTACTGGATATATGTATTTATCCTGAATGAGGGCCCGATCGCCGAATGGAATAATTATCACTGTGCTAAATAAGGCATAAACTGCATCAAACCAGAACTTTTCGTACTCGAATTTTCCTCTATCATAATCTGAGGTCAATCTAAATATTTGGGTACTTTGAATATCTTACTAATACCCCAAGATTTAGGGACACAAAATACATCAAAGTTTGTGGAGCTTAAAGAACGAGTACTAGAAATATAATGAGTCAAAAGGTATGTATGTATCATCCCAGAGTTTTTAATCAGATCTATCAACCAACTTTCTGCCAAGGATCGGAGGAACCTTGTAAAAAATTGGAAACTGTTAATAACACAGATATATATTTTTCCTACCTGTAAATATTTCGACCCGTAGAGAATTCTTGTATATTAAAAATTGTAAATTAGAGGAGAACGATAATTTCAGCATTGTGTCCGACCCTAATAACACGAACGAAACGTGCACACATTTTTTATTCATATTGCACGACCATTATTTGAAATGACCCTTGCGAATGAGCAAACTTCAGCTTCATGTCATTACAAGCAAACTGCAAAATAACAGTATTATCATTCTCTCTCTCCACTCTGAGAGTTTTTGTGAGAGTTAGTTGTTGGAATTGATGAACCTTTTCTGCCCTCTTGCACACAACCTTTATTATCGAGCCGAGTTGTAAAATCTGACTCTAACACCGGATATCAGGGTAGATTTCAAAGTTAAAAATCACAACAGAAAATATTTCCGGAATGCGAACTTTTATAAAATGATGGCATATTTTCGACTGAACTAATTCTGTTTCTGAGTAAGAATAATATTCGAATTTGCATATTACCTTCTTCATCAAAGCCCAAAATTGACTCCAGCTCCAGAGTCTTCTCCTCGAGTGTTACTTCCGTCTCCATCCCATTGCTAATCCAATGTCGCACAAAATTTCCAGTCAGTCGTCCATGCAATCAGTTCAACATCTTCACTTCCGACCAATTTTTACCACACTGCTCAACCACCAATAAATAAACACTAACTAAAACTCAGCTCATTTTCAGACCATCACAGTTGTGTTAATAATTATTGCTACCGCACTTATCCGCATCTTCTAATGAGTTTTACATGTAGATTAGAAAACTATGTGGTGTATGTAAAAAAAAGTGTCTCTGAAATGTCCCCACTCTGATTTTGCTACTTACTAACACGACATCATCTCATTCTCTCCTCTTTTTTGATTTTGAGACGAGGTGAAAAGTTGGTCTTGCAAAGTTCCCAATAAATTTCACACTTGAAACTTGTGTTGCAGTGGGTCTACACTACGTATTACAAATTAAGCACCGAGAGTCGTACAAGTAAGTGGTAGGTAAATAGGTAGCTGAGATGATGGTTCGTCGTCTCTTGTGGCCGTGTTCGTTGAGCTTACTACCTGTTCTTCTATTAGAGTTAGTTTTGTATAGTTAAGTAATTATTGGTTGATCGTCGTCGTCTTCTTGTTCGTTTTGCCATATGTACATCGTGATGCAGGGTTATATTAATCTCTCACTTCTCGGACTATGTACTAAGTAGTGCTTCGTCTTGGCAAGTTATTATTTATCAAGGAATAAAACCTCTCCTCTCAATCAACACTGAAACTCTAAACAATTTCTCCATCTCTGCTGCACCACTAGTTATTTTTTTTATATTTAATGCTCCTCTTCAGTACCACCACTATCACAGATGGCAATAACAATATAATCCACTTTTGAGCTCTAGGCATCAAGGTACTGTATATTTCTTAATAGAAGAATACATACCTGCAGTCAGTGTTTTCTACCTGTTGGTCCATCCTGCCCGTGCTGCAATTTTTACCTGCTCTTTGGTTGTTGTTGGGCTACATAAGTAAGTAGTAAACCCCGTCCGTCGTCGTCGTCAGTCACTGCGTTCAACAATCGGCTCTTTCAAAATCAATCTTTTTGCTCTTTGCCTTTGCTACACAGCACTAGGCTCGGTTTAGTTGGTTGGTTAGTTTCGTATGCATAATACTTTATTGCTTGTGGTGCATTTGATTTAGATTTCGCCCAGGCCCATCATGCCACCTTTTAGACATATATCCTCACACTGAACTTGACTATACATGCATTGCAACAATTGAATTGACATGACACATACATACAAATAATACACACGGGTTAGATATTGCGGTAAGTAATGCTCATGAACTTGCATAGCATACAGCCTCCTCCTCCTCATTGTTGTTTGTTACTCGCAGTTATTGTTCTTTGCCTGCATTGTATGTACATGTATGTGATATGCACCTATAGAATTAACAGGGTCGTAAACTCTCACGAAATTTTATCGGATCGGAAGAATTGTCGGGCTGGGTGTAATAATAACATTACCGACGATACTAACGGCGAGCAGCGAGACAAAGGTGATGCAATTCACGAAAACAAAGTCTACCGATGGTGGTATTAAGACGGATAAATGTAAATGTATGTACGGAAATTTGTAACTTTGGGTATTTTTTATTTGCTCGCTATTTGAACAAGACTTGCAATATAGCTACAATATATATAGACTTACAATAGGAACTTGAGCGTACTTTGCTGGGTTTGATAAAAAAATTCTTAGGATATAAAGTTAAATATATTTATATGTATATGTTATGGAAAGCTAGCTTGACTCCAGTAGCAAATCCGTAAATATGTTAACTGCGTCCCTTGCTGCATTGATCTTGGCCATGCCTCTAGAGGCACCTTCTCCAATGGCGACAATGGGGGGGTCGGTGGTCATGTGTACGAAACACTGGTATTCGCCACGTGTAGAAAGCTCGTCGAAATCAATATAAATTGCTTTAAAGAACGAATCCTCCATGCCGTCTAGAAGTTTGATTGGGTCTTCTATGGCAGATTCCTCTTTCTGTAGAAAAAATTAATTGTCCGTCATGAATTGGATAAGTACTTGTTAACATATGGAATTATGCAAGACAAAATAGAGGCTTAGAAAACCCTCCTAAATATACCCTAGACATTGTTAAATCATTGCAAATGTGTCATTATTTCGGTGGAGCATTTTGCAGTTCAAAGGTTAATAATGATAAGTAACAATAAGTCATGTCATTTACCTGTATGTTGCCAAATTTGTGTTTTGCGATATTCCTACATTTCGCAAGTAGACTTCCGTCCGCATCCGATTTTGGTTTCTTTTGAAGAAACATTGCGATTCTCTCACAGATCTTGTCATCGTCCTCATCAAAGTCGTACACATGTGTTGTTTCTGACGGAATATTTTTTAGACGCTCAGCCATTAAAGCGGCCGCCTGGCGCTTTGCTAACTTCTTAGATTTGCCACGACCAATCTCGACGTAATGTTCACCAACGCGACACGCCATTGCGAAAATCCTCTCGTGCGGAAGACCTTCTTCAGAGTGAACCTACATTGACAAACCCACGTTTTATATTAATAATTAAATTCAACATGAATAAAAACCAATAAAATTGGAATTTTTACCTCGTACGTTGGCGGAGGATGCTTAACCTTCATGCATAGCTCCTGCAACAAACCAACAGGGTTTGAACCTCCCAGATCTGAATCATCGATAGTAGAACTCCCATCCGGAACGACAGCGTCTTGCTCCTGACGATCCATGGAAGAAGCTCCCTGAGAGACTACACCCATCATAGAGAGCATGGCAAGCGCAGTATTGTGCTTTGCTTCCTTCTTCGATCGACCATTACCTGTCGCTACAAATATATCATTTAAATTAATTTCCACTATGCCATATCTTATAACATCACTATTAAGTATAAAGTAATTAATCTTGTCGTGTCTGCTTACTGTCAAGATCCGCACCATTGAAGTTTAGAAAGAGTCTGTATTGAAATACGGGTTCGTGAACAGCCCCTTCAACCTGTTCAGATAAACATGTGATAACTCTACCAATGATTATTTGTCTAGCCTTTAAGTTAGCGGATAAGTGCTCAATAATTACCTGCAGCAGCTCGTATTTCGGATTGCAGTTTTTCCGAGTGCAAATTTCCTGCAATAGCGAGACTGGGGTCTTTCCAGGGGATCCTGCCATCTTAACTATTTGTATAAAATAGCTCCTTGCAATTTAATATGTGCACTAGGATTAGAAATTGTGAAAAATTAATTAAAGTCAGAGTCAGAGTCAGGTAGAAATGTGTAGTAAGTAGTTTGGCTGGGTTCCCTCGCCATTTCTCAATGACATTTTCCACTCCACTCCGTCTCTCAAGTCGAGGATCTCAAGTTTGCGAAGCTAAAAAACTAAAAATAGTAAGAAATTTCGTAGAATCAAGTAAAGCAATTCGATTATAAATAGAATGTCATATTTCTAGCTCAGCTAAATTAGTTTCAAATTATAACCTGACCGTACCTATTATTTCAATCAGAACTGTCCAAAAATTAGGAACAAAGATGACTTGGAAATGTTGCACCTGGATTTTATTGCTGCATGCTGTATTATTAGTTGCATGTGCAATTTTAGAACTTTGGAATTAGTGTCATGAATTAATTTATCGTTTTTCATACAGATTTTGATATGTTATTGTTGCTAGTTTTTAAGTATTGAGTCCAATAATTTGGCAATAACAATGAAATGTTAGTTAATCTTTATTTAAAAAGTTAATTATGGCAAGTTTAACTCAAAATATTTCACACTGACTTACCAAATCGGTATCCAGTATTTTAGCCTCCTACCTCAAATATTGAAAACTCGGTCAAAGAGTCTCTGTGTATGCGTATATACATACGTTAACATTTTCATTTTTGGTTAAAATTTCAATTTAGGAATTATTAGAGCAATAAGGATAGCGACCAAGGCGAACGATAATTTGGTAGACATTTTTATACCCCATTCAAAATATAACAACAATCAAAAGTTAACATGACATTGGCACTTGTTGAACTATAAAAAATATATAAAATCACGACTGCTTACCATTGATGATTGAAAATTAAATACTTTGAGACCTTCCTTGCAGTTTTACATATTTGGAGTAGAGGTTTAAAAATCAAAGTTTCATAATTCCGTAGGATTGCATGTCGAAAACTGCCTTAGTCAAAGGGCATATGCAATTTCACACGCATGTATGCAAATATTCTGCCCTGCTATAGATGTAGGATCCCGATAACTACTTTCCGGAAGTTATTAGCAAGCAATTTGTGAACACCTTGGTAAAGGTGGTTCCATAAATTACACAGTACAAAAGTGCAAATTCTTTGAACTACAACGATCTACAATGTCATAGATAAGTTGTTTTTACGCCATTCTCATGGGTATCCTACGAGGTACAAGGGTATCCCATGGAAAAATATACCCTTGCCTGTGACCATTTTCAAACGAATGGCATTGTCAGAATCAATAATATTGTAATTTTCCTACCTAACACGGGAAGTTTTCCGGCCTACTTTAGCAAGTTCGTAATAAAAAAACTTCCCTAAAACACGGCAGGAGCGATGATTCAAGTATGAATAAAACGATAATGATGAATGAAACGATGCAATAAATTCGTCCAAAGAAATAATACTGCAATTAAACAAAAACTCCTGTCAAGTGCAGTTCTGCAATGTGTGGAATTATAGTTGAGAGATGCATTTACATGCCAATGTACATACATACACGGATGTGTAGATATGTGCATATGTATATGCCGTTTGGTGATGAGAAAGTAGCAATGCATACGGTTGATGATGATGCTAAATCTTTAGCTAAGATTTGAATTGGGATTTTCATCAAATTCTTTTGTACTGTAAAAATAGCTCACAGCTTACGTATACATCGTGTATGGAAAGACTGTTTGTTGCCTAATAAAGAATTGAAATGGGTCGGGAATTGCTATTACTTACCTGAAAGGATTTTAGAATTGGCAGGAGCAGGAAGTGTTACGCTTCACAGTGAAACCTGTGTATACCAATCCTGCTGAGTATTTTGCATTTATTCTCCATTTATCAGGGATGGGCAAGATACTTGCAATTAGTCAAGATACAAGATAGTATCTTGTATCTTTTATTTTGTATCTTTTAGGCAAGTCTATTTCTTACTATTGTCAGTCAATTTGACATCAACTTGCCGTACCCAGAATCTGGTGAATTTTCACTTCATTCACTTTATGCCAAGCCAATTAGGAACACAGGTACATGTGTGTAGTATTATTTTATAAATACTATACATATTTCCTATAATATGTACGAGTATTTAATGCATATCATATTAATATTACATGATATGGACCTATACTTCATGAGTCTAGATGTCGTAAGTTTTAATTTGAGTACGCAGCGAATGTGGTTAAAATACAACCAACTTTTTAAAAATGTGGGTATGTACTGTAGCTCTAGTTTTCCGAAATTTCAAAGTTTCTTGAAATGTACTTGAACAAGAAGTGTTTTATATCTTGTACCTTAGATCTCATCTCAGAAAGCAGATATTTCATCTTGTATTTTGTATCTTAGGCCAAAGTATCTTTCCCACCCCTGCCATTTACTTTCTTATTGCCATACCTTTTCATTATTATGCAATTTTAGGAAGGAAACTAAATTATATTTTTGAAGAGTCATCATGACTTCGCTAAATCTAAATAATTTCCCTATCGAGAAGCAAGCGTCAACTTGTTGGTCTTATAATCAGAATTATTTATACATTATTTAGGAAGTGTCCTTATTCACTGTTGATGACTTGATGTCAATATATCGACATTTTACTATGACGAAGTACATGTTATTTTCATGGGACGACAAGTACCTTAACTTGTCCAGCATGTTTATAATTTAATTTTGTATGCGCATACATTTGCCCAAATAGTAATACTTAAATCCTGTTGATTCAATAAGCACAGGTTGAATAATCTGATTTTCGATCTCTCCTACTTTCTACTTTTGTTTGCGACATATCTGCTGCTGTACGTTAAGTTATCTACTAGAAAAAAATGCAATTCGCGTTCAAAACTAAGTAATTCTCCCCGAGAAAATTTATATTTCTGTAAAGCAATTCATGCAAACTTACAATTGTCCAGAGTGAGTCTAGTTATGTTACATTCGTGAATCGCAGATCAAAATCTCACATTTTATGGTACGGCAGAATTTGACGTAATTCCTAACATAACGCTCATCATGTGTACCATTATTATTTTAAAAGTTATTTATTTACAGAAACTATTGACATATGAATACATGAAATATGCAGGAATTCGCCTATGCTGTTGCTATTGTTCCAAATTCAATCAATCCGCACCGTAGAATACTGAATTACACTCTGCATTATTTTCATGCTTCATGTCCATGAAAATTTCAGTTTCTTATCTAACATCTAATAGTCAGCAGGACTGAAACGCAGGTAGAGATGCCACCGCGATATGATTGCACGTAGTATTGTATAAAGTTTCGCATTCACATTCCGCAGCAGGAATCGATTACACAAACACAACGACAATCTCATACTTACTCTCAAACAAGCGTTGACCTAACTAAAATGAATGGTTTCTTTACCTACAATTGCTGCAAAGGACAAAATAGCACGTATACAGGTAGAAATGTTTACTATGATATTTTATAGGGCACTCGTGAACAGAGGAGAAAAAGTCAACTCGTTCATTACAAACGACTTGACCTAATATAGTTTTGTTCAGATTGATTGTCGAATATGCGGCAACATCACAATTTTTATAATTAGAGCATTTGTTTGTAATTTGTGATGACCATGACCTACACCTTTCTAGCAGGACAACCTGCTTATCGACAATTAATTTCTTCCTTTGACCATGACGCTTTAACATTTTGCTGACACATTAAAGATCTGACTGAACTATTTTTTTTGCAAAAAAAATCCTGAAATCATGCACTATTCACATGCCCCTGTTGTACCCTGCTTGAAATATATTTCGCCTATTTGCACAAGCTGAAAATTATTTAGGTATACACAACAGCAAGTCATCATTAGCATCAATCCCAGTACAAATGTGTATTTACATACGTGTGGGATACTGATTTTCAATTTAGGCCGTCTGTTCGTTTAGTGATGAAGACGTAATTAATAAGCAGGCAAAAACTAACGTAACCTCTTTCCCGAACTCTAAATAACTAACAGCAGTATGTAATGGATAAAATCCATAATTCATGTACGAGAGTCATTGGCTCAGTTTTTAATGTTTTCATGCATAATGCTTCTGTCTCACACGACCATGTAAAGATTTATTCTGTCGATGAGTAAATGACCCGACAAGTGCCAAGCTCTGTTTTCTTTTCTATTATATAACATGATCTATGATGTATTAGTAACATTATTTTTGCGATTTTTTTTACAAACCATGCTTCCAACAATTAGACCGTTATTTCAAAATTACATTTTCTCCATCTCAATAATGCTTTTGCGAAACTTTCCTCACAATTTTGGGTTTCTGTTGACGAGGCAAATGTCTCAAACCACTTCATTTAAAGGGGTCGATTTCTGTACATATTTTATGAATCCATCCTAATTAAACAATCATACACCAAATCCGACGCCCATTTACGTAGCCCTCCGCTCGAGCTTTACCCTTGTCACGGTCACCTTGTTTATTTACATTTTCGTACCCTCAATGACAAAATAAGTACGCTTCGTAATTATGCGGATTCTGTTTCTTTACTTCCAGCCTAATGTCGAGACGGAACCCAAAAGAGTGCTGCCTTTTTTAGGGCTTATGTAATTATACGATTGTGTGTCTGTATGATAACTGTCCTCTCGGACGTAAAATTTTTGATCCCATAGTTAGAAAAAATCTTCCTGGATAATAACTAATATGGTTGAGAATGGGAGAGGAGATATGTTATATATGTGAAATATGAAACTTTATTAAAATTTATTTTTTATTCGACCTGTGACACTAATTATTTTTAATTTATCGCAAAGGCATCCAAACGTACTAAAATTCAAGCAATCTTGTACGATATGTTAATTTATGAATTTTCTAACTAAAATTAAGGAATTCGCACATATCCTTCTATTCTAGTTATAACCTGGTCTATATCATTTCCAAAAGGCCTCCATACGTAGCTTGCCAGTAGATTTTATTACCGAATAAACACACGCAAATCTCAGATTAAAAATTGGTAAGTGGTCCGGTCCACACTTCAATTTTATACTCACCAATTTCAATTTGAAATAGCTTATGCATTACATTCATCCCCCAGTAGCGATAGCAGTAGCAAGCACATAAGTAATGCTTCATCTCAATACATGAGACCAATTCGCAGTGCAAATTTCGCACCTACCATCACCACCACGACCACCTTCCTTAATAACTTTAGCTACAAATTCTTCATGAAACCCTCGATCAGTTCGAGATTGGCGTTTGCATCGTACAATTCGACTCCGCATCAGCTACATAAATGGTCAGCAGACCTTACTTGTGGCCTGGGTTAAATATCAATTAGTTGTTCTTATGTGAAACCCCATCTTCAAGACATGCTTCTTCTTCTTATCATCAGTGGCAACAAGTGGTGCAGTTCTGTTTGTCTGTGAGTGGGTTATCTTGTCACATTTTGCGACACGTGGTTGGAGCTTCTATTGTCATTTGAACTCTGATAACAACAATATCTGCAGAGAAAAGAGAGAGGCGTTCTCACGTGGCCAGAATCGTGTGAGCGGGCAGTAGCGTGGTGGTGGTTGGTGAGTGAGTGAGTGAGCATTAGTTGACAGGCGAGGAAGGAAGGAAATGTAATAATTTCCCAGTTTTTCACACAGTTCGTGTTCAGACATCCATCGAGCAGGAGGTCACCCACTCTGGAGAGAGTTTGGTCAATGTTTCCCGTCAAAAATACCTAGGTAAGATCTGATAAGTTCCTGTCTCCGTCTCAGAATTTTCCTATCAGTGGAATCTTGAAGTTTCTGGCTCATTAGAAAAGAATCTGAAAATCAACAAAGTTTTTTTTCCTGTTGTTCTACTTAAACTTTTGTTCTCCATTAGAGAACATGATTTTAAAAGGGTGAAAAATCGGTGGGCTTATCACCGACCTATGTTCTCTGACATTCGTCTCTCTTTATCTCATCTGGTTGTACTTATCACACCCGGTTGTCTGCCTGCCTCGCATCGGCAGAGTGAGAGAGGAATTGTCAATTTTTTCCGTGTGGAGAATGAACCACGAGTAAAAGTTTACTCTTTGTGCAAGCAAAGCAAAGCATGCACACTCACTAACTCATTCACTTATCGTTAGAGTAAGGATTTTTAAACACCAACATAACAAAGCCAGGCAAAGAACACATTTATTTTATTTTATGCAACTAGTTGAATCATGAATGGTGATGATTTGTTCTCGTCCGTCATCGCCACCTTCCTGGTTGAATTCATCATGCTGATTGTGCATGTGTGTGGTTGCGTAAGAATAATAATACTTTGGTCCCATTAACACTATATTTGATCGGATGCATTATTATTATCGCATGTGGGAGCAATTTCCTTTGCACTTTTGGTTCAACTGGAAAAATCGGCCATTGCCATGGCGTAAGCATGACTGAAGGTGGGCGCAGTATAGTTTTGGGCGTTCGTGTTACTTAACACAATTAAATTTTCACATGTTCCGATTTCCCGTCGTTTTAATGCAGCAATTTGACGATCAATTTCTTTGCAGAGAGGGAGGGGAAATTGATTAAAAAAGTCTTTGAACGTGGCAAGAATAATCCAATTTTAGTAAATCTTTTTAGCATCAAAGTATGTACTTGTTTGTTGGTGGTGGTTGTAGTGGAATTTTCCATCCTTTTATTGCTGGCCTCTCCTCAACGCAGGTGGTATGCATGGTGAGAGGGAACGGTTCAGGTTTTCTTTGCCTCAACTCTTTTTAGCTTGGGTTGCATGATTTTGCATGCAAGTTCAGATTTCTAAAAAAGTAAAGGTACCCATATTTGTTGAATTTATTGTTTGTCTGTCCAGCATGTAAAATATTAATATAATCTTTCTTTAGAATGCGGTGTCCTTTTTTATCCTGATTGTGTTTCTACTTCAGACGAGCAGACCGGCACAAATTACAATAACTATGCTCCCAGGCGAAATATCAACACACATGTAATGCAACCTCATGCACTAAACCTCTTGGTAATGTGTACATATGTAGTGGTAACAGTAGTAGATGCTAAGAAACAATTGGTAGACAAACTAAATTTGCATTTCGCAACTAATCTCTAGCCATTAAAACTACTCTTTCGTTTGGTTTGTTGTATTTACATTGGGTTTGGTATATCCTTTAGCAATTTGGTGTGTATCTCCTCATCCATCCTCCTCAGTCAGTTGCATAGATCTATTCGTATTATGGTTTATTTTATATCGCCTGTGTCACTGACGACGACGACGACGACGATTGAGTTATTTAGCCGCATGAAACACACTGATGATATCGTCTACTCGGAACGTGACGCATCGTAGTTGTAAAGGTTTAGGTTGTTCCGGTCCCATGTAAATGCTGCATATCTCTTGTCAAAAAATAAATGGTTCAAGTGTTGAGTGCATATTTTAAAGCTAATTGTTATGGCTGGTCTGTTTTATGGATAATTTAGGTCTGGTTGTGGGTGCAACCAACCACCGTGCTATGAGAGGAAAGTTCTACTGGAAATTGGATACCGTTATAGAACAACAACCACCAGACAAGTAATAATACCTTCTCCTCTTAATTGTGATAATTGGATTTATTAAGTTTTGTACAAAGTTGGCTGGAGGAATTGTGCAGACTTGGGAAATCAGGCAGGAGAGTGAGAAGTTTTGTGTGCTATGACTATGACAGTTATTGGCAGAGTGGCTGTGATAATATAGCTGACCTAACAAAGAGTAACTAATCCGCTCGTGTAATATTTCTTTCCGATTGATGATTACAATCTGCTGAATGTGATATAAAACTTGAGCAGATAATGGTTATCTGCTCCACCACTGTGCATATGCAGTAGTGTATGCTCATACATAATTATAACTTTAAAATGTGAGTGACGACGGTTTTTGTTACATATATTCAGGTCCTTGTGAAACTAGACTACGCTCTACCGGCTAACGAGAGTTACGACGAAGACGACGACGCTGTGTGTGGTGCTATTTGACAATAATCGGAAGAAACAAGAACAAGATGTACGACGGGGAAGATTTTTTGTTTCAAGAAGAAGGTATTAACTAAGTTTTACGGGCCTTTAATTTTATTGTGTCTTGTCTGTCATGCCATGCTTTTAATTTTTTTCTACTTTTGTAGTTAAAAGTTGTATTTTAGAGGCTGAGCACAATGTCCATGTGCTGACAAACAAATTCTGCATGCAATGCAGAAACTTTAGTTCGATATATATCCATGTAGCTTGGATGAGAGAAAAGTCACGACTAGAGCACGCTAATTCGTATCTTGTCGGTGGTTGGTATGGAAAGAATCGAATTATGGCATCTCCCCTGCGTCTATCTATGCGTCTTCATTAAACTGTTTAACACTGATGTCAATTAAAATTCCGACGCGGGATGGGAGCACGCATGGAAAGTGAGGAGGGACAATTGTTCGGGACTTTTTATCAGTTTTTGTGTGAGACTGACTGCATGAAACTAGGAGTGAGTTGAATGAAACTAGCTGGGAGAGAGATAGAGATATCCCGAGCAGGAAAGAAGGGAACAACGGCGTGGCACGCTGCTTTTAATATATTGTGATTTGAAACGGGACCGGTGTGTGGATTGTAATGGGTTGGGACGTAGGGGGCGAGCCGGCAGCAAATCAATAAATTTAAGCGAGGAACAACGGAGGACAGACGGCGGATGGATGGTGGGAGCCGAACCGAGTCCCGGGTTCTTATATACTTGCTAAGGAAAGGGAGTGCTGTTGTGCGCTGCTGTTGGCTTCCCTTTAGCATAGCATACACCACGGATTCGCAAACGAGGTTTTCGGGCTTTTGCTATGTCTGTGTGTGACGTGTGCTTATGTGAAGGAAGACTGGCTGAACTGTATGAGTGAGTCGAGCGAGGTCATACTGATCTTCCCTTTGGTGTTCCAGGTTCGGGGGATTGTCACGACATGAAGGAAAGGTCAAAAGCGACCGGTGCTGGGGGGGAAGGGTCGTCCACAGCGTCCTCGGCCAACGACCAGCCGCCAGGAACTGATACAGCAGCAGCGACGCTAGGAAAAAATTGCCAAGAATTCCCAAACCAATTGTCCATTCCTTTCTCAAAACTAACATTTCCAATGACCAAAGCTAGTACGCCTATTATCGACTTCTACAAAGGCCGCTCTGTATTCATCACTGGTGCCACTGGGTTTGTCGGCAAAGCTACCGTGGAAAAGATCCTTCGAACGTGTCCCGACGTGGGCAATGTCTTCATTTTGGTCCGACCAAAGGCTGGTTGTAGCGTTGCCGAAAGGATGGAGGACCTTCTCAACAATTCAGTAAGCACTATAAGTCAAAATCGTAGCTCTAATCCTGGACATCTTTAATTTGCAGTCGACTCGCTGACAGCACTTATGTACCTGGGGAATAATTTAATAATTATTATCTTGGTTGTTTTATAGCTGTATGATTTCCTGAGAGCCGAAAATCCTGATGTTTTGAAAAAGATCGTGCCTATTGCTGGAGATATTACGTTGCCTGAGTTGGGAATAAGTGAGGATGATCAACGAAAATTAATACAAAATGTATCCGTCGTATTTCATTCTGCTGCTACGGTCAAGTTTGACGAGAAATTGAAGCTCTCAATTAACGTAAATGTTCAAGGAACAAAACGAATGGTGGACTTGTGTAAAAAGATGCAACATTTAGTTGTAAGTCGCTGTGATATTTTTATTACTCACAATTTCAATGCTTACCTTCAGTAGTGAGATCATCATGATTCATATTAATCTCTCCGTTTATTTGTTCAGGCACTTGTTCATGTATCTACTGCCTACGCCAATTGTGAACGAGAGGAAATCGAGGAAGCTATTTACCCACCCCCTTGTGATCCATACAAACTGATGCAGAGCGTTGAATGGATGGATGACGACATTGTGGAAACCATTACACCTCAGTAAGCGAATAATTTATCCATCAAAATTTAATATTTAGCATTTTAGTCTGGTGTCGGTGTTATAGTTCAAATTGACGTTGTTTTCAGGTTGATTGGCAACAAACCAAATACTTATACTTACACTAAGGCATTGGCAGAGCATGTACTTACCTTGGAGGCTAGCGAACTTCCTTTGTGCATCGTTCGTCCATCAATTGGTTAGTATTGTTTCATAATAATTTCATGATAAATACATATGTTGGTACTTACTTCAATATATACGATATCATGTAATTGCAGTGACTGCAACATGGAAAGAACCTGTATCCGGATGGGTTGATAATATCAATGGCCCAACTGGACTGATTGCAGCCTGTGGTAAAGGAGTTCTCCGGACGTTATTATGTCATCGAAACAAAGTAGCAGATCTAATTCCACTGGATTACCCAGTTAACTTGATAATTAGTGCGGCTTGGTATTTGGCAACGAAAAAGTAAGTATATTTATACCTATGTTTCTGTGTAATTAATTTAGCCCTCTAAGCAAAGATAAAATAGTAATAAATATAAAAATTTTGTCTAGATCGCGTACAATTAAAGTGTACAATTGTTGCACGGGAACTCAGAATCCACTGAAATGGGGGCAATTGGAAAATTGGGGGTTTAAGCATCTTACTGTCAATCCTTTGAATGATGTTATGTGGTATCCTGGGGCGTACTTCCGATCGAACGCTGTCATGAATAACATCAATGATTTTCTCATCCACTATGTCCCTGCCTACTTAATGGATATCTGCGCTCGATTATCAGGAAAAAAGCCAATGTAAGATTCGTTTAAAGTATTGCCCATCAACGTTAGTTATTATAAAAAACTATTAAAGTATTAATGCATTTTTTCTAAATTTCAGAATGCTCAAAATCTATGGAAAGCTAACTAAAGCTTTGAACTCTCTGCGATTCTTCACTACTCACGAGTGGCGGTTTGCTACGCAAAATATGCTGACGCTTTATGATATTATGAATCCAGAAGATCAAAAAATTTTCAACTTCAACGTCAAGGAAATCAATTGGCCAAGCTATATTGGCAAGTATTGTTTAGGGATTCGTAAATATGTAATGAAGGATGACCTCAGCAGTCTTCCCGCAGCGAGGAAACACGTTCGGAAGTATGTAATATATGTATCGACGGAACATAATTTTTGTTATTGAGCAAGTATTTTATAACATTTTTATGCTTATTGTTTTGCAGGCTCTACTGGGTGCACAAATTCACTCAATTTTTCCTCATATTGATCTTTTGGAGGGCAATCATGTTCCGCTCAGATACTGCCCGTCAACTTTGGTCCTTCATGTTTGGCATGGTCCTGAGGTGGGTACTTTTTTTATACATAAATAATGCTTATTGAATTATCACATTAATATTAATAACATGTATAACAATATCAAAGAGTGAATGTTGTAAATTGTAATAGACAAACGATATGCACAATTTATTGCTTTACTTGTGACGCAATTATGCAAATCAATTCTTAATGATTTCATTTTTTTGATTACAGGATGGCAAGGATGCTACCGTGCGGTGAAGGCATTTAATAATTTCAACTATCACAAAAAAAGAACTACGAATTCGTCGTCATAAATCTGCGGTGATGTGGTTCAGACATTGCTACTAGAAAACAAAAAATAAGTGTTTCTATTAATAGGTATTCTTCAGCATCGTCTCAACAAGTCGAATAATATATAGCTAGCTACTCAATACAATAATCATTTTAGTATATAAAGGGTAAAACAAAAAGCACATTAATCGATAGTCAATAATTTCATCTTTCAGAGAACGGTCCTATTATATAACCTTCACATGTCGTCCATCTGCAACACTGTCAAAAGCCGGTTACCAATTCCAATATGTATTTATTCCAGCTAATTTTAACTCGCTTTCTTGTTGGCTCATCCTCTGTGTGTAAAATTCCACTCCCGTTTTAAAATTATCTGATACCTTCGTATGTTTTTTGTCTTTTTGGGAATGTGCTCAAGCTTTTTTAGGTTTTCACTTTAAACCACTCGCAATATTATGTATTATTACACTTTGTCAGTTTCCTTTTGTGAACTGCTTAATTTTATTTGATGATTGTTGTTATTACTCAAAATTCTAAGTGTTACGGTTAGAATTTGGTTAATTGTAAATTAAACTGTATGAACGATACTTGACGACCTGTTCTATTTTGCCTTTTCTTTTAATTGCAAGTTGCCTGGCCGGTGTGTGTATGTGTGTCTCTGTGTTTGCGTGTTAATGACGAATGATGAGACGATGACTATTATTACCTGTTCTGATGAATGATACCTAGTGAATCACTATCAGTCTTTATCTTTACTATTAATTATATATACATATATATTATCTACGATATATATAATATATATATATACATATATATATTTGCTAATAATATGTAGGACCACGCTCATCGATATAAATTAGGTTCGTCTCAATTATTGATTCATTTGCACCATCACGACCTGATTCCTGATTTTGTAAAAGTAAATCTATGCAGTGACATACACAGCAGGACCGCTTTTGTATTCAAAGCATTCATATTCATAGTAGTAAGTAGACAGCTCAAATCAAAATATATATGCACTTTCACTTTCGTTTTCATATCAATAATAACGGTAGTTACGTAATAATGGTGTAGAGAGAGACCATTCAATTTACATATGTAGACTTTGTTGCGTCAGCCAAAAAGTAATAACATGTTGTATATTCTACAGTACATATGCAATATTGATAATGATTGGAAAAGTGAAAGTTTCTCAGCTCTTCTTGCGTCATTTTTGTTAGAATTGTATTTTTATACGTCAGGCAGCTACATAAGTAGGAAGTGAAAGTACGTGAGTGAGAGAGAGAAGAGGTTTATGTTACGAGGGGTTGATTACTATACGACTATTAAAGTCGACTCCTCCAAGAAATAAGTGTATGTATGGTGTTGGTGCTGCTTAAATGTTTCTTCAACGTGACAAATAAAAAATAATAGGATGGTTCCGGTCAACATCTAATATCTACTGCCCCACTACTACTCCCCCAAATCCACAGGAATCGAAAACGAAAAAACCAGTCTGCACAACAGTGATTACTTACTACTACTACCACTTACAGTACATTAGGTCATTCTCTTTTTTGTCAGAGAAAGTAAAATTTTGCCAATAATAAATCGCTATAAAGAGCTGTTATTATGATATTCTAAAAACATGTGAGATTTTGTGACCCATTACATAACACTGCTATTTATTACGTATTAACTATAAGCAGTATACATATGGCGGAAGCGTTGAAACGCCATATTTTACTCATGCAATTCATTTCTGTAAATAGGATATTTTTTCCGGAGGAGGAAACACATGAGTCTGAATCAATTTTGCGAAAGTATTATTATTTCACTTGCTTGTTTAGTTAATGAACCAGACAGCCCGTCTACTCCTACGTATTACTTACTCCTTATTACATGCACCGTTTATGTGTATGTGCATACATTCCTTGCATAATAGTCTAGTAAACAAATGCATATACCAAGACGTGGAGTAGGTCTCGAGGTGAGACTAGTCAGCTCCATATTTATTTATATGCATGTGGGTGGAAAGTAGCAGTAGTGCTACAACAGGAAACTTGGAACGGAAGATGTTTTAATGTGAAAGTTGTGTGTTTGCTGGTATCTCGAGGAAGCAGGAGGAGAAAATTGCTTGGTTTAATGCTATTTGTGACCTGTTGAAGTTTCCTGATGGAGTGTGACTACATTGATTGCTACCACCAGGAGACGAAGTAGACGACCACGACGACTTGGAGGAGGAGGAAGAAGGCTAGTGTTTCAGTCCTGGTGAAATCGATCCATTATATTATTACAGGATGGCTGGAGGGCCCAAAGCCTGAGTGCTTGTGTAGTTGGTTGGTGGGGGGCGTGGATGAAAAGGAAATTGAGTGGAGGATTTCTTGGAGAGAAAGTAGCGTACGTTTCCCACCAAAATAAATATGGTTGATTGAGGCTGATCGAAAAGTATTGTATTGCCGATTTCAATTAGCAGAGGAAGATTGACTGTGGGGAAAGTTTAACTAGTGGGGAGAGGAGCCGATTAAAAGTTGCGGATGCGGCGGCTGCCGAGAACTCAGAAGGAATGGATCTGTTGAAAGCGTGCTGTAATTACAATACGACTATCGAAATACGACTGCATCGTCGTTTTATACATGAATTCAGAGCAGCAGAGGAAAGTTTTCCGCTTTTACGGGTAGTGGTGTGGGTGGTGGTGGGGATGGTGTGGTTGGTGTGAGTAAACAAGGAGCACGGCGAAGAGTGATATATAGCATTCGGGGCGATGGTGTTGAACCAATTACTGTTACCAAAACTCTACTGTTTCTGATTCCACTCTTGTCTACTTTTTTGTTCCTCCGCAAAATGATTACACATGTTTTACGTTTGCTTTAGCAATCATCTCCCCGTACATTATTGTACGACGACCGTGTAGCTTATACACCATTGCGATCCAATCGCCAGCAATCCAGTCCTCTCTCTAGAGATTGGTGTTGGTATCCCCCACACTCGCTCGCTTTCTCTTCTTCCCTCTCCTTAAGAGGAAGGAGAGAAAGTTTATTAAAAGAAATCATCACGAGTCTATTACTCCGCTGCACTCGTGCTATTTTTTCATCAGACAACAGCTTGTTGTTTGTTTCCATAAGATTACTACTCATCCTGTCACGTCATGGGAAGAAGGCCCCGAGATGTACAAATCTTTAAGTCAGCACCACCACACGTATCCTCCTCCATCCACCTTCTTGCTTTCTCCACCTTCGTCACAGAGTCCTAGAGTCGTTTCTTCGTCTCTTCTTCTTCTTGGTCTTCATATCTTGAACCAATCGTCCAATGATGCTTTCTTTTCCTTTCCTTTCCCTTTCCAGCTCTTTGTTTTCTCTGGCAAAGTAATTGCGTTCCTTCAAAAACTGGAATGTTGGCTCTTGGGCTTTTCCTCGTTTCCAAAAAATGATCACGGCTATGGGTTCTCCACCCCGGTCATGCTAGATCCTCAGCTACACACACAGTTCCCATAATGGAAAACTAAAATGAATTTTCCGAGCAGCTATGGGTGTCAGATTTTGCAATTTTCTTTCTCTGATATATTTTCCCATACACACTGGCCCACTCAGTTTCTCTTGTCTTGCCGACTTTCAAGTGCCTCTTGTTGCTCTCACGGCCTGGACATTCTTTGACGATCCATCTGCTCAAGCAGGCTTTTTTTCCTATTTTTTTCATTCTTATTCTTTACTCTGCTTTATTTGACTTGCTGTACAGGCAGAGAACCAGTCAGAATGGGAGATAAAGAATTGTATGAAAATAAAGAATTATATACAACATGTAAGGAGTAACATACACACGTCGAGCTATATCACGTCTCGGGAGACAAGTTCACAATAATTAATTTCAAAGATGTTCTCGTATTAAATGGGGAAAGTCTGCTGAAAGCGTCCCTTGACACTCAAACTACCACATGCACTAGAGACTCTGGAAAACATTACAACTGGTTAGATTACGTAATTAATAAATCAAAAGAACTCAGAGAGTAGAGAAATGTATATAAAAATCATCACGAGGAGGAAGAAATATACAAAAAAGAAATCCACATTTTCCACTCGAGACTAATGTTTTAATTCAATTTTAACTTTTGTGCATGATTTTATTACAAAACAATGTCTCCCTTTTGTCTGGAAGAAGAATAAGAGAAAGAATGTTGTGCAGTGTGTATCGGTGGTTGTTGGTATTCCATTCCTTTTTCAGCAAAATTACAATTCACTCTGCACAATTCCACCATAAATTGCGATACATACTTTCATGGAAAATATTTGATCCCCCAGCGGGCAGTAAATTAGAATTCCGGCAGTAGTCGTGGTGGTACGTAGCTGAAGAGAGAAAGTGTTTTGGTGTGTTGTGCAGCTTGTGTGTGTATAAATCAGTTTGGTCCGTGACGGAATGTGCCAGTATCCTTTTCTCTCTTCTGGTATGGATGGATGGGGGAAATAAGTGAAGCAAAGTGCAAAGGTCAGCAAATGGGGAGGAGGAGGAGGAGGAGATGATGGGGGCATTGTTTTCTCCAAATGTGTATGGACGCAGAGGAGGAACAGATCATCATCATCATCATCATCTCCATACACTGCACTATTGTGCACCGGGCATCCTCCGCCGGGTTGGATGATGAGTGGAATTCATCTGAAAAATAGTTGGAGACTCTTGTTTGACAGATTCCCCTTGTGTTCTTTGTTGTTCCAGGAAAATGGAGCTTCGAAATTCGGTTCATGTTATTACTTGGACATTTCAAACACGTTGCATCCATTCAATCAAAGCATTGTTGTTATCTTGGAAGGATTTTTTATAATAAAGGCCAAGCCAGACGAGCTAGAGTCCAGTTACATGTTTCTCGTACAACATTCTCGAGAATATTCCTCGTCTCTTGCAAAACAGGAGAAGAATTCCACGACTAGACACACACAGACACTCACCATTACACCCGTCTTCTCAATAATGCTACTTTCCAGACGCTGCTGCTGCTACTGCGGTGTCAATCCGCTTTGGGCAATGTACAGATCCGAGTCTATCTGTATCTACATCACAAAAGATTGTGCCAGGTTTTCTCTACTAGGCTGGATGTCTCAACAACAACATTTCGGATTGCAATTTCGTCCTGTTTCGCATGTCCCGGTGAAAATGATGTATGGAATTCAGGAAAATGTGATAATATTTCTTCCCAACTCAGCATATTATAAGCTCTCCCCTGCTCCTTCTTCTTCTAATAACATCAATAATAATATGTAATATCGTTAGGAAGAAATGAAACCAATAATTGCTTCGGATTATTCGTTCACAATCATTAATAAACCAAATGTTTGTATTTTTCTCCCCAAAGCGAGACACGTTCTTTCACAACGTGATGTCATTGGTGTCATTCAACCCTTAAGATAAAAGCATTTTTGTATGTATTTGGCTACACCACAAAATCCTTCTGCACACATGGAAAGCTTCTATGATAAATATTTATTCATCTGCTGCAACTGAAATCCCATCGCTCACCTTGCCAGTTCAATTTTCAATTGGCATTTTGAGGCCCTTTTGCAAAATTCAAATGCTTTCTCCCGTCACAAGCTGAAAATGTGCATGGATCCTTGTCACCTAAGGACAAGTGACGGACGGTGGTGTGTGGTAATAATTTTATAATCAAATAATGACCACAGACTTATGCATATTATGCAATAGTATATCAAGCCCTTGCCCCGAATGCTCAAGAGAGAAGGAGACCAACCTCGAGAGAAGAAATCTGGCCAGAAAGCCTGCGTTTGTGAAATGTCTTTTGATGTTTCTTCGGAAAGGATGTTATTCTCCGACAAGTTGTAGATGTATGTATAACATTGGGGAAGTTTCTCTATATTTGTTGATGCTACTCTTGATGTAACACGTATACATAGTTTCAATTCGGGGCATGGTGTGAATTCGGGGGGACGAAACGTGTGTCTGAACGTATTCATGTATGTGTCTCTAAGGTTTGGTATTGCTTGCACAACACTCATTCTTTCTTATGTTCATGCACACACTTTGCCGGATGTACTGTTTCGTCAGCAAGTTTGACTTTTCAGAATTCAAAGTACAGCCTCCCCGTCACATCCTGACCATCACTTAAACACTACGCGTTTTGAAATATCTCCTCCTCCTCCCCCGTTTCGACAAATCGGTCTGCCTCACTTTCCAGCATAGAAGCGAAATGTGTATGTATATACGACGCAGTAGTGGAGAAAGAACAGCACACTTGACCTCCTGCGTATCGCATTGTATATCTTTTGTAATTGTAACACCAGGATTTGTATTTAAGATTAACCCTTTCGCTCGATTTCCCACTTTTGCCACTTGCACGGCAAATTAGTCACTCTCGAGATGTGCCAATAACGAAATCCCGACATTATTACCAAAGGTTTTCCTTTTGTCCTCTCGTTATCTGAAACCAGGCCACACCAGCCACATACGGATGAAAGGAAAGTAGTAATTGTGTTTTATGTATGTATTCAGCATGCCTTCATTAACAACAAAACCTCGGCTGTTTCGTAATAATATTTCTAGCCGCGCGATGTTAATCATAAATCCTGTAAATGCTTTTCCTCTCCTCCTCCTCCAACAACCTGACAAGATTAAATTACAAACTTCTGCCTTTTCCGTTTGAATAA